TCATTTACAATTCTGTTCTGTGTACTTGCAATACAGTATATTAGAAAATTTTACGTACCATATTTATATCATGCACTTACATGTATTTTACATAAATAGTTGCTTATGTGAAGACTGAGTTTATATAAATATATTTTTTGTATTGAATTATAGAATATTTAAATAAGTGGTTCTATGTTCTAATGTTAGAAATTTTGTTTTTGTGTAGATAGCATGGTTTGGGTGATACCTAAATGATAAATCTTCCAATTTAAAATGTAATTTGTATTTCAGACGTAGCTTCATAGTGATTGTCTTGAATTTATATGAGGCTGGCACCATAATACCGGAATTTTTATTATGCACATAATTAATTTTTCCTCCTCCCCTTGAAAAAAGGTGAATATCTGATGAGGTCACATTAAATTTATGTCCTTGGAATTATTACAGTCCTCTAAAAACAGATAAGGGATTTCATCTGGCGACAATATTTTACTGGTGAATACCGCATCGGGCTAATACTCCACATTTTACTTAAAATAATATGTTAATTAAAGATCTTAAAGACACATTATTTAAATGTCTATTGTTTTCAGCATGCTGATATGAATCTTGAAAAACTGAAAATATTTCCTTCCCAACAGTTCAATATAGAGTAAATTGCAATTAAATGGGTTTTTTAAATAGTTTTCGATATGAATTCAAATTATTATAAAATTACATAGACATGTACACATTCAGCAGCAATACTTTCTAAGCTACAAACAAAAAGAAAAGGTTTGGTTTGCTCTATGTAATTACACCAAACAACTTGCGGGCTATCTGCCTAAGGGTAAGGATACCTCATTTCTAAGGGAAACTGGCTTGTATATATATTTTACCTGGAAAAACCAGGAAAATGCCCATACAGCTAGCCTGTTGTCAGATTCGAATCCAGGACCAAACTGGCAGTGTTTGGTGACTTTTGCTGCTCAAATGCTGGTGGGAAAGAAGAAGGTGCTTGTAAATTGAACACAAATTTAACGAATCACTCTAGCCTCCTGTAGCTCAGTGTGTAACAATATAAAACAATGCTGTTAAGATTGTTTCAGGATTATTTATATAATTACTGTTACATTTTTATTAAATTTTTGTTATTTAATTGAACTTGTTTCTTTCACTGCGAGTCTTTAATCTTTGAAAAAGAGATGTTAAATTGAGAATAAAAAAGTAAATAATTACTGCAAGAGAAAACAGACTTTAATTTTACATAGGTAATCATATTTTTTAAATACCGCAGCAAGCACACATTAGGTATTCTGATATTAAACTGGTAGTTTTGCAACAAATGTAATTAGACTCTATTAGTAAATAATCAGTTCAATAAATGAAAATAAAAAATAGGGGATCTTTTCCAGTAAAAGATAACATATGCATAACAATTTTTTTTAAAAAGCTACATGTACCAATTTGAAACTTAACAGCGATTAAATATCATCTCATTATAACTGCGATAAAATTTTTCTAAACATAAGAAATTCATCTTTTAGGCTATTGAATGGGATAGAATTTTCCTCCTTTGGAGGAAAGAACACATGTACTTTTAGAATAAAAAAGATCTGCATTATATTTTTAGTTAAAATACTGCATTTATTGGTTAGAAGTTAGTTCAAGCAGGACAAAATTAAAGATAGATTGAATTAGTTTCAATATTTTTTACTCTATATTTAATTATAAATAATATACAGTTCAGCATAACCAAGTGTTCAGAATACTTAACTGAATTCAAATCCGAATTCTATTTTAAAATCTTTTGAAATCAATTTGAAACATACTTCTCAAATAACAAAGATATGGAAATTTTTATCAGAAAACGAAAAAAAATATCAAAATCAAAACTGACATCTGATTCACAAAAAAGAATAACTCATTATGATATGACAGTAAGGAAAATTTAATGACTGAAGCAAAAAATTCTATAAGCTTCATTAAAAATTTCGCCACAGTTTTTTATCAAGCTGACACTCGAGAATAAAATACGATCTGTGTGTGTGTGTATCTAAGCATTTTACAAAATGAGAGATGCGAAGAACCTCATTCTAATTTAATTTAACATATACACAGCAAGTATTATTACTAGTAATATGATTATTTTTCTAAGGGGAAGGGACTGAAAAATATCTTCAAATTAACCGTTCTTAAAAAGTACTACAAGCCTTGCAGTATGAAAGCTCTAAATTAATTTTATAATTTGAGGAATAAAATACAATCATTAGTGAGCAGAATATTATAACGTTGATAATAACGCAATCCATCACATTAAAAACATAAAAATTTTTTCATCCGCTAGTAATCTTAGCGGTCTAGCTACTCCATAAATGTTTACATTTGGAACTACTAAGATGGAACAACAGCGCCATCTAGTGAATGCGACATTTTAGAACCGTTTTTCTACTAGGCAGTTTCACCTCCTTCATTATACTCCGTGTCCCAGGCGAAAGGGGTGGCTGCATGGTTGGTTTCCATATTTTCCCCCTTTGCAATGTACATACGAGTTAGTTTCTCTTACAGAGGCCTCCATGAAGGCATTCCTTCTCTTAGCTCTGCTGTGTTTTGCCATATTCAAATAATCTAACCATTTAAGACACTACTTCTTGGAATCTGTACAACTATTTATGTGACAGGTTTTTGTTCTTTTCACTGAAATTCCAATATATCCCATTCCTCTATTAATTAACAAAATGGCTAAAAAAGTCTAGATAGATGTTGTTGATTACCATTCACATTGCTTTCTTTGCTAACAATTAGCAGGCTTGCTTGAAGGTTTATGGCTGTACCCAATTGTAAGATAAACTTTCAGCTCATTTTGGGTAGAATTTCTGAGTTTATAGGCTTACAAGTATTGTGTTGTATTATTTGTGCACAGGAAAACATTGAACAAGGAAAAAAGAAAAAAAAAAAAAAAAAATAACATGATGGAAATGAAATTGGATCCCTCATAGAGAATAGACAAAGAGGAAAATATTAATAAAACTCCAATGGGTTTAGGTGTTGAACAAAATATTATGAATTGTGAATATCAATCCTTTCTTTCATAAAACTTAATATTTTCAAAACCTTGTCATCCTATCAGTTCACATAAAGTTGAGTTTGCAGAATTCAATTGTATAACACTTTTGCAAAAAACAGAGATCATCACTGCACTATTTGACCTACATTATTACATATTTAACTACTTTATTTCAAACAAAGTAAGAAATTTATACACTGCTCGACATTGAAAATGCAACACCAAGAAGAACTAGTCAGAAATTTATGCAAATTTTAGAGTAGACGCACATCACTGAGTTATGCGAATGATGTGAAATGTGCAGCTCTCCGACACACGTGAAGTAAGATATAAGGGAAGGAACGTGCAGAAGGAGCAATATTCGTGTCGTTATTTCTGCCAGACGAATTATCAAAGAAATTTGGTTTTTTTCCTGGAGGATACATGTAATAGGAGAGAATGGCCAGGCCACCGTCAACGAAGGCACTTCCAGCAGATAGAAGATTTTACGAGGGGTATGGTGATCAGACTGAGAAGGGCGGGTTGGTTCTTACGTCAAATCACAGCTGATGCACACATGGATGCGAGCACGGTGCATCGGCTATGCCGAACATGGTTGGAAGAAGGAAATTTGGCAAGAAGGAGGGGTGCAGGTGCAGCCACAGTGCAGCATGCATGGATCGACGCATCCGGCAGCAAGATGTGGCGGTCCCGAAAGACACTTGTACCGTGATTCCGCAGCACGTGCAAGATACCCTGGATGATCCCGTGTCAACCAGAACCATTTCCCGTCGATTGGTTGAACGTGGCCTGCACCCTGCACTCACGGCGTCCATTAAAGAAGACTGCCATTGACCCCACAGCATAGACCCCAACGTTTAGAATGGTGCCAGACTGGAGCGAATGGCAAAACGTTGTGTTCTCAGATGAGTCACGCTTCTGCTAATCCAGTGACAGTCGCCGCATATGTGTGTGGTGCCAAGGTGGAGACACATCTAATCCAGCAGTAACTGTGGAACGCCCCACAGCGTGGCATAATAGTTTGGGGCACTATTGCCTACAATTCCAGGTCACCTCTAGTTAGTATTCAGGGCAACATGATGGCCCAACAATACTTGGATAATGTACTGCGGCTGGTGGCAATCCCCTACCTTCAGGGGCTGCCTAATGCAATTTTTCAGCAGGATAATGCCGACCACACAGTGCTTGCATCTGCCAACATGCTCTGCAAGGTATACAGATGCTTCCCTGGCCACCGTACTGTCCTGACCTGTCACCAATCGAACATGTGTGGGATGTGATTGGACGCCGTTTGCAGACTCTGCCTCGTTCAGAAGACGAACTGTGGCAAATGGTTGAAAGGGAATGGAGAGCTATCTCTCAGGACACCATCCACACTCTTATTGACTCTATGCCTAGATGTGTTTCTTCGTGCATCGCTGTCCGCAGTGGTCCTACATCCTACTGAGCCGGCGTTGTTCTCGCTCTGTATTCTGAGTAACATTTTGAAATAAAGATCTCTTATTGCTGCTTGCTGTCTCTGTCTTTTTTCCAAATTTCATCACTTTCTGATCACTCCTTCTTGGTGTTGCATTTTCAATGTCGAGCAGTGTATAAGATTTTGCTTTAGAATGAGACCTTGTTTTATCACACCAATAATGCAAGAGAATTTAAAGCTATTGGAACTATGTAGGTGTATTCCATAAAGTTCTGAAATGAATTAAAACTCATAAAGAGGTAAAGACAGTCATATTCAGCTTTGATATAAATATTTACAGAAAAAAATTTACATAACTGCATTTTTATAGCTGTTTTTTTATTTTATTTTGTTTGCCCCATTCTGTACTTTTAAAGCACAGACAATGGCTTTCTCTCTTTTTCTTTATTTTTTAAGTTTTATTTTCTTTTTTTAAAGGAACTCTAAAATTTTCAATAACATTAAGTCCATTTATAAGACTGACAAATATTTTGTAATAAAAAATAACAAAATAAATATATACTGAATCCTTAATGATGATTTAATGAAATATTTAAAAATTTACATGTAATAACGGTTTTTAGAAACTACAAATGAAATCTCACTCCTCCATCTAACCTTAAAGTTTCTCCATTTAACATAGGATTTTCTATTATACATTGAACCAAATGAGCAAATTCTTCTGGCTTCCCAAACCTCTTCGGAAAAGGAGTCGTATCGCTGATAAAATTGACAACTTCAGGTGGAAGGGTACCTGTTAATTCTGTTTCCATAAAACCTGCAATATAATAAAAATTTGTAAATAACTAATTTTAACATAATAATGTAAATAACTAAATTATTTTATTTGTAAATTCAAAAACTTCAATTCATAATAGACAGCACGACATTTACATTTGAAAGAATGAAAGAAGAAGCATAAAGTCAATACTTTTTTAATGTTTTATTTCATGGAATAATAATACTAATCTACATTTATAGATATTTTAAGGTTAAAAAAAAGTGACTAGTTTAAAATGTAACAATTGGTTTTTAAGTTAAATAAAATACTTAAAAAAATTAATGCATGTATTATCAAATAGCAACATTCAAACATAACGAGTTTATGCTTTTATGAAATTTTAACCTTTTAGGAGGTGCAAGCTGATTTATGAGAAACAACATCTTGAATTTAACCTTTAATCATACATGTATTTCATATGACATTACTACAACAAAATGATGACATTATTACACCAAAATAAATAGCATACTCTTAAAAAAAATCATGGCAACAGATTTTAATGTGTGAAGGAAATTTCAAAATCATGTTTCCTAGATACTTTATTAAATCTTCTTTATGTTAATATTTAATTTAGATTTATACAGCACAAAAGGAAACCCTATACCCCCCAAACAGAATTGAAAGTCAGCATAATTCAAACCCAAATTAAGTCTGAAATTTATAACAGCACAAGAACAACATGTATTTTCCCATTTCATCGGCGCAAAACTCGCCAAGCAGACTTTATTGAAGACAACACATGGTATACATAAAAAAAAAATTTTAACAAATGTTTAGTTCTAAGAATTTTTTACTTTAAATGCATAAACATTTTAATAGCGCTTAAAATTTTTTTTCACATGGGTCTTTCCTTTCCCTTCTTCCACATAAATTCCATGAGATAACTTTTCAATGCTGTTCGTCTGTGTTTCTTATTTCGCCATTTGGCGGCTACCCCATAGTCTTTCTATTTCTTGTATGTGCGTTCCAGCTTCCGGATCGACAAAATTGTATTTATGTTTCACTTTGAAATGTTTGAAACTTTCCTCTTCCAGTTTTTCAGTGCAGTATGATTTTCCCCGAATAGGAATATATTATACAGTCAAAAGTCGTTAATCCGGACTTGTCGGGACTTTGGCGATTCAGGATTATCGATTTTTCCGGATTATAGATCATCAGTTTAAATCTGGTAAGATGGCATGCAGAAATTATAAAATTAAAAATATGAAACCACAATTTATGAAATAAAGAACAATTATGATCTAAAGGGTATCAAAATTTACAAAAAAAAAAGCTTAATATTTATTTGTTTACTTTATTAAACATTTCTTTCAATGTAAGTTGCTTAAGTTGCTTCGTTTTTTACGTGATAATACATTATCTTTAATTCTATAACAGACATAATTTCTTGATCAGTTACAAAGTTCCGCTGTTCAAGTCCTATAATTGCTGTGTCTACCGACTAATTTGTCAATCGAAATTTTTTCGTTTTCAATAACCTCTGTCACTTTCTTTGCTATCGGAAGCGAATTATAATGACGAGGAATTTGATTTAAATCATATCAAAGACGGAGTACATCGAGATGAAATACTACATTTAGTAAGGAATTATAAGCCAAATAAAATAAAAACATCTGCCCTGAAGATAAGGATAGTGCTGACAGATCAACTTCCAATTCATTGCGCGCCCGCCACGGCGTTAAAGATAAACAAAGTTTAGATAAACAAAGGATATGCCTTTATCCATTTTTTGCAGCAATTCCACTTTTTGTTTAATGAAATTCGAAATATACTTTCGCTTTGTAGATCCTTTACATATTATTAAAAATATATATCAGAAATTCTATTTGACATAATCGAAAGTTCAAGCTTACTTTTATAAAATTGCTCTAACAGTCTGCAAAAAATAATAAGCCGGATCCAATTCGAAGATTAAGGAACAACGCAATCTGCAACATTAACTGAAATAGATAATTTTGGCTTAGCTTATACCGTACATTATACATTAAACGCAAACTCGTAAATGTATTTTGCGCACGCGCACAAGCATATTCGCAGCCGTAAAGGTCTTACGGCGTCGATATGACGCATGCGCAGAAAGTTTATAGCTTTGAGGTCCGGATTACAGATCATTCCAGATTATGGGTGTCCGAATTAACGACTTTTGACTGTAATTAATTTTCCAAAATTTTCCTTAATTGCTTCTCAGATAATGCTCATGAATTGGTGTTAAACCTTCACACGGAAACGTTTGTTTGAAGGCAAACTCCACCAAAGATCCACTGTTGTGGTAGTATCTGCACCGTTTTTGCACTTTGTGAACATACTTTTATCCACTTCGATTATCATACCAGGTACTCCTATTTTCTATTGTTGACGTTTAAGCTAAGAATCCACACAAATCTCACACATGTTGTTATTCCGGTCTACAACTGTTCTGTGACTGATTTCCAATCGCTTTTCACTCCATTCAACTGAAGGTAATTCTTCACATCAACCATAAATAAACCTCACACACTTCAAGAAACTCAAGTTTCGATGACTCAAACCATGTGCCTTTTTGGATACTTCTTTTATTGTGACAACTTGAAAGGTTGCAAGGCCATAGAATTTTGTCTCTGAAATACAATTTCATTTCATGATTATTATAACATGTAGCAATTTTAGGCACAACATCTTTCGATTGAAAGAATCTGGCAGATCCTTCCTCTGTTCTGGACAAATCCTATATTTTCATTGGTTTTTCATACATTTTTGACATATTAGGAAAAACATGTGACCATTAAGAAATGGCAGTGCTCTGTTTTGAAAATGTGGCAGTAAAAGGTTACCAGCAAGGATATTCCATTTGGCACTGGTTGTATTATTTTTGGCGACTTTATTGACAGCACCAGTGAAAAGGGAAAGTACTCAACATGCAAAATGAGTAAAATAACAATGAAAGAAAATTTGTAAAATAACTCACTAAAATTTGTAAAAAGCTTAAATTACTAAACAAATCTCGGTATTTTAATTATATAACTTTCACAGTTTTTTAAACTTTAAGTTGTTATAGTGAATATTATGGTACCTAAAAATGTTATGGTGTCCAAAAGGTCTGGTACCTAAAAGGTTTCCTACTCTGTTGACAAAACACTAAAATTTTTCAACAACAGTAATATACTAATATCAATAAGCCCTGTACATTTGCGTTGTGTTTTCGGATTAACCCTGAAATCAATTTGAGAATGAGACGGGTGAAAATCATGAGCACACACATCTAGAAAAATTTATTTATTTAACTATTAATGCCAATTATATATATATATATCCATTAGTTGAAAAAAAAAATATCAAAATATATTCAACAAAATTTGAACTATTGTTTTACACATCAAACAATTCCAAGTAATCATTTTTTTAACATCCTTGTAATTACTATTAAATTTAATATTGCGAATCTGGTAAAACATACCAAAATAAACTATAAATTTAAGAACACTACCCTCCCCGGGGAGAAAATAATAATAAAAAATGTAACAAGCTACACTTTCTACTTCACACAGAATTCATCTATACAACAAAAAATATTGCTTAATATTGCACTCAATATAATCATTTAAATACTATTATTGCACATAATAATTTTTATTATTTAATTTTTTTCCTTTGATTAATTAAATATGGTTTAACCGGATAAAGATAAGTAATGACACATTTACTATTCTACAAACAAGTTTGTCCTGAGAGAAACAAGAATGCTCTAATACAAGCACTATTACAAATCATCCTCACCAATGAGTAATTAAAAAAAAAAAAAAAAAAAAAAAAAAAAAAAAACATTCAAGTAAATAATTTCCTGAAGAACTTAATTTTCTTAACCATTAAGTTAAGTTACAATAATTTTAATAAGGTTATAAATCTTTATTCCATTTAATGCTTTTACTTGATTGATACACCAAAGAAAAATGATTTCTATAGAGTTAGGATAAAGTTATCAACTACAAAAAATTTAGGGTTCAACAAATTAACAAATTAAGTTAATTCAATCATTTTAACTGCAGAAATCTATAATATTTAACTAACCAAGAATTAACCAAAAATAAAAAAAAAAAAAAATAAGAAAAGAACTTATCTGTTCCATGAGCAGAAGGAGCATCAAACAAAAAAAAAAAAAAAAAATCCAATGAAGCTCATGAGGAATGCTGGCAGCCTGTTGAATGGAAAAAAATAATGTTCGTCGAACAGTATGGATTCATTACGGTAGCCTTGAAGTTCTAGTAGATTTTAGGATGAACAAATGAGGTTCCAATACGGCAAGATAAGTGAAATACAGTGCTGGCAGCCTGTTGAATGGAAAAAATGTTCGTCGAACAGTATGGATTCATTACGGTAGCCTTGAAGTTCTAGTAGATTTTAGGATGAGCAAATGAAGTTCCAAAAGCAACGGTTGTAAATTAACGCTCTGGTTCCGAGTGAAGCGACGAATCAATGGTGCGCATCATTTTTCTAGAAATTTACTTCTGTATATTTTTCTTGAGATACACAAACACACACAACAAAAAAAAACTGATGAAAGAATTTCGATTTTTTTTTTCGAAGACATAGATGCCCATACCTACGGCCCGCGCTCACAACGCTTAGCCAAGAGGCCCGTACATCTATCGGGGCGAAGCTCCATTTTCTTCGTCGGAGTCAGCTGTCGCCTCCGGCCAATTCAAAGGGCAAAAGAAGTGTCAGAAAGTGCAAAAAAAAGTGTAAAAAGAGCAAAAAGAGACCTCGTCCCACAAAACAACCCGTTAAAAGGGAGAGCGCCGGACTGCCAAGTTGGCGCAACCCATTCTTCGCCGAAAGTTAAAATAGTTGCAACAACAGCATACCCTCATGTTATCAAACTCGCCAAATCCATTACTTTGAAACCTCAACGGAAAATCTATGTCGCCAAACCCTCGCCAAAAAAACACCACCTGTGACCGGGGGAAATTAGGAATTTCAACAACCCTGCAAGGGTCCCAACGAAAGAACGCTGAAAACTC